TAAAATTTAAATTTTTTTCTTAAATCGCCTAAAATCGCACTAAATCGCACTAAATCGCAGTGCTTGAAAGTCCCAGTTTTTCCTTAAATCGCCTAAAATCGCCCAAAATCGCATTATATCGCAGCGATTTAAGGCGATTTACCGCCCCAGGGTAGGCCTATGATACAATACTTATTGCTATACAAATAGCCAATTATTACATAAAAACTGAATAGTATACCGACTTCTTGCATTGTATATTCCAAAATAATCCTGTCGCTCATATATACTATATTTTGATTTGAAACAAACGCCCGAATTCACTAAAATACACACACAAGGGGCGCATATTATAACAGACGCATTAGTGACAGATCGCGCGTGCAACACGCACGCAAGATATTATCCAAGCGTGGGCAGACCCAGGCATTAACATACCTGAGTAGACTACAATCAAATTAATATTTTCTGCCCAAACATAACCATGCATTGAACTACACATTTAGTTGATAAAATTGGAGTTCAATTTTTTACAAAATGAATAGGAATGTTTTGAAATTTGTGCTTATCCACCGTTTAAGCTAAACACCTTTGAAACAACTGGCTCCTGGTTATCTTAACCCATTGAGTGGCGATGCACCCTGATGCACCCTACTTTAGCATTGTTGAAGCCATGACTTTAGAACACGTATTTGTAATGAAATCACTCTTTATTTTCACGTTTATTACAAATGTAGTTTTGTACAGTAAGTTACTTTCACGAGGAGGTTCAACTAACGACACAACAATCCCATCATGCATTTGTCTCTCAGTATTACGTCATACTAATATTTGGATAACATACAGTTTTATATTGAACTCAACACCCTCACTTGTTATCAGAATATAAACTAATTACAACAACCGAACACGATACTTTTAAAATTATCTAGTTTACATTTTGTGGGTGGCTTTGTTAGGATATCAGCTACCATATCCTGGGTAGGACAATATACAATATCGATCATGCCTTTAACATACATTTCACGTACAAAGTGGTACTTTATGCCAATATGCTTAGAACGTTGTCTGTTAACTGGGTTCTTACTTAGTGCAATTGCCCATTGGTTATCAACACTTACCTTCATACTCTGATGTACTTTCTTATACATACCGTTTAACAATTGAGTTAGATACAAACATTCTTGAGCTGTATTTGCTAAAGCTACATATTCAGCTTCGCAAGTGGAAATGGCAACCGTTGGTTGCTTCCTCGACTTCCATGAAATCAGTGGTCCTCCTTCAGTTAGAGTACAACAGTAACCTGTAGTACTTCGCCTGTCTTCCAGGCAAAAGGCCCAATCTGAATCACTATAAGCAGCGAGCTGCAAGTCAGCATCAGATTTCTTAAAGCAGGGTTCATAATCCACGGTACCCTTTAGATACCTTAGGACATGTTTGGCAGCAATTAAATCTCCCGTTCTGGGGTTTGACAGAGTTTGAGACAGTCTGCTTACAATCCACCTTAAATCAGGCCTTGTACAGGTCATGGCATAAATTAGGCTTCCTATCATTTCTCTATACTGTCTGGCGTTGGTCAATTCACCACAGTTAAATTCTAATCGTTGCTCACATGGGGTTAACCTGGGCTTGCAGTCTATCATTCCAAATCTCTCTAGTATTTTAAGAATGAATCTTTTCTGATTAATTTTTATTTTACCCTTGCTTTGCTTAAAATCCATTCCAAGGAAGAAAGTGATTCTACCTAGATCTTTCATCTTAAATTGTGTCTTCATACTTTCTTTAAATTCTTCCATTAACTGCATACTATCTGAAGCTATAATTAGGTCATCAACCCAAACAATGACGATAACAATTTTATCATCAACTTGTTTCTTATATACACAGTGATCAGCATGGTTTCTGACAAAACCGTCATTTGCTAAATGCTCGTGTAACAATATGTTCCAATTTCTACCTTATTGTTTTAGACCATATAGCGATTTCTTTAGCCTATATACTAACCTCTCACCACTCTCTGAAACCTCTTCAAACCCTTGTGGCTGGTCTATGTATAACTCTTGAGTAATGGGGGCATGCAGATATGCAGTTTTAACGTCCATCTGGTGGACAATAAGATCATGTTTTTCTGCTAACTGCATTAAGACCCTAATTGAAGTAATACTGGCTGTCGGGGCGAAAGTTTCTTGATAATCTATACCCTTTACCTGGCTGTAACCCTTCGCTACATATCTGGCCTTAAAGGTCTCTATGCCATTCTGATCTTGTTTGGTTGTGTACACCCATTTTCCCCCTACTGAAGCTTTACCTTCTGGTAAAGTTGATAATTCGTAAGTATCATTTTCCTTCAGAGAGCTGATCTCTTCCTTCATTGCTTGCTCCCACTCACTAGCTTGAGGTGATCCCATGGCTTGTGTGTAATTTTGTGGTAATCCACAAACTTTGTAGCAGTAATCTACACTAATGTGGGCACAATCGGCATTCTTAGGGAGGAGGGTGTCCTCTTCTAAGTATCTGGGAGGGTTCCTTTCTCTTTGAAGATACCGTTTTGTCTCACTGTCATTCTCAGTATGGTCACAATGCCTTGCCTCATTATCCCTAGGCTCCTCATCAGGCACTGTATTTGGCGGCATTGCACTTAACACAGGGAGGCTCATACTATCTAAGTCTGATCTAGTATCATGGTCAGATTTCTCATGTACATCACAATCCCTGCTGGACTCATCAGTTTGTGTGTGCTGTTGTACACTACATTTCTTGATGAATCTAATGAGTCGATGTTTTATGATTTTCCCATTTTGTGGGTAGTACACTAGGTAAGAAGGGTTTTTTTTGTCGTATCCCACAAATACCCCCTTGCTGCATCTTGAGTCAAATTTCTTATGCTCCTGTTCGTAAGCAAAACATTCAGATCCAAAGATCCACATTTTAGAAATATCAGGTACTTTCCCAGTAAGGCTAAAGTAGGGTGTTGTCTTTGTTTTCTTATTAAAACATCTATTCCTAATGTGAGCTGCGGTTTGAATTGCATAGGGCCAGAGAGTTTTGGGTAACCCTGATTGAAGAAGAGGACATCTGCCCATTTCGAACAATGTGCGCCAGTGCCTTTCGGCGGTGCCATTCTGGTGTGGCGAGTAGGGAGCAGAAGTTTCATGTTTTATGCCACGCTCCCTTAGTAGTGTTTGAAACGCCTTACCTGTAAATTCTGAGGCATTGTCAGAACGGATGCAACTTACCTTGCCATAAGGAGTGATGTCTTGCTACAAAGGTGTCACTTTTACATTTCAGAAAGTAAACAAATACTGCTCCTGAGAAATCATCAGTAAAAGCTATGCAGTACTTAAACCCCTCTCTTGATACAGGAGAAACTGGACCTGCCAAATCCACATGCACTTTCTCCAATGATTTTTGAGATCTTGCATCAGGAATCCTACTCCTGCTGTTTACAAATTTTCCTTCTACACATGTATTACAACCTAACTTAGATGACTCAATTTTACCTGAGAATTTCATGCCCTTAACTACCCCCTGTAGTTTTATAATATCTTCAAAATTGCAGTGACCTAGGATTTCATGCCATGTGTTAATATCATATGAGAGATTTACTTTATCTACTTCACTTACGCTATCGTTCTCATGACTGTCTATGGAAGTCAAATAGTACAACCGTCCATGTTCTTCAATTTCAACAATGGTACCATCTTCAAGGGTTAGCTCACCAGTATCTTGGGCAAATCGAAGCTCGGCTCCATTTGATGTGGCTGCCTTCACTGAGAAAATATCTTGAGGATAGGATGGTATATATAAGGCGTTTTTCAGCACTGTTTTCACACATTTTCCATTTGTATCTTTCAGAAACACTTCAGCATCCCCTCGTTTCAATGCAATATTACTGGCTCGTGTGCCATCAGCCAGTTCAATGTAATGTTTTGATGGTTTAAATGTCATGTCTATTTGCTTTAAAATATCAGTAGTAACAATGTGAGAAGTGGCACCTGTGTCAACCAACATTCCCATTCGATTGATTTTCCCTGTTGCTTCGTCGTTAACTTTGAATGCAAATGAATGTTCATCTTTAGAGGTGTTTTCTTTCTCCGACACCTGTTTGGCTTGGTCTTTGCTCTTTTGCTGACTTCTGCAGGTGCTATCCGAGTGTGTTGTACTTTTGTGATAGTTACACCACTTCTTCTCGCTCTTAGCAGGGCACTCTCTGACTAAATGCCCTCTTTTCCCGCAGCCATAACATGTCATTGTTTGCGAAGGAAACTCAGCTTTTATTACCTGATCAACTTTCGGTTTGGTGTTGAGCTTTTCCGTTTCTTCGAAGCTCCTCAACATGCTCTTAAACTTCGCGAACGTTATCTCACTTGCACTTTGGGTCACATGTATCGAGAACGGTTTATATGAATCAGGCAGCCCCTTTAAGATCATAGTAATTATTAGCCCATCGCTTAACGTTTCTTTGGCGTTCTTAAGCGCTGTTATTGCTTTTTCGGCTCTTATTAAGTAATCTGTGACTGTCTCGTGAAGTGCTTTTTCAAGTGACGTTAGCTCAGTGTAGAGTGTGATGATTCTTGGTTTGCCTTGATTTGCATAATGGTCTCGGAGTATTTGTAAAGCCTTTCGGCCATCGTCGGTAGCATCCCTCATTACCAATGACAGACTGGTGTCATCCAAACACTGTGTAAGCTCGGCGTAGCATTCTTCGTTCTTTGTTGCGTCAGCCTCTTCTTCAGACGGCAGGATAGTATCCTTTAGTTTTAATAACCTCATGTGCGCGAGGAATTTCGCTTCCCACAGTTCGTAATTGCTTTCGTTTCCATCGAAAGTCAACCTTGACCAGCGTGATTCTCTGCTGGGCCCATAACCTGTTGAAGCCATGACTTTAGAACACCGTATTTGTAATGAAATCACTCTTTATTTTCACGTTTATTACTAATGTAGTTTTGTACAGTAAGTTGCTTTCACGAATCACGAGGAAGTTCAACTAACAACACAACAATCCCATCATGCATTTGTCTCTCAGTATTACGTCATACTAATATTTGGATAACATACAGTTTTATATTGAACTCAACATAGTTAAGGCTATAGGCTTACTTTTTTGCCATTTTCTGCCTCTTTTTCAAAACTTGAAAAATCGACTAAAAATGGACGAAAAGTTAAGGCAAAAATTGAAAAATTGGCTAAAAATGGACGTAACGTTAAGGCTATAGCCTTACCTTTTCCCATTTTTTGCCTCTTTTTCAAAATTTGAAAAATTGGCTAAAAATGGACGAAAAGTTAAGGCTATATATAGCCTTACTTTTTTCCCCATTTTTTGCCTCGTTTTCAAAAATTGAAAAATTGGCTAAAAATGGACGAAACGTTAAGGCTATAGCCTTACCTTTTCCCATTTTTTGCCTCTTTTTCAAAATTTGAAAAATTGGCTAAAAATGGACGAAAAGTTAAAGCTATAGCCTTTCTTTTTTTCCCATTTTTGGCCTCTTTTTCAAAAATTGAAAAATCGGCTAAAAATGGACGAAAAGTTAGGGCTATGGGCTTACTTTTTTCCCCATTTTTTCCCACTTTTTCAAGACGATCAAGTTGATACGGCGAGCGGAATGAATCCTTGGTAGCTACCAAGTGTTTGTTGAACCTTCCATGCCTATGCAACAAGGTTTACCGTGAAAGGCTTATGAAGTTAAATCTCTCTTTCTCGACAAGTGGTTTCGCATTACATTACGATTCAATTTTTCTAAAATAAATATCTCGGCGAGTATTTACCCCCCTTTAAAACAAAACCCACCATTGCAGACCTCTCAACTTTGCAGAGAAGTTAAGAGTGAGACTAGTACCGAAAAATGTTTTGCCGGAAAAATTATTTCGGCGACCTCCTCCCCCCCCCCCTCGCCAAAAATTTTTCGGTCAGTGTACCATTTTAGGGGTCCAAAAAATTTTCCGGACTTACCAAAATTTTTATGCGTTAGATTTACTAAACGTGGCGTGAGAGAGAGCGTGAGACTGAAGCGAATTGCGTGAGACTCACGCCGAATGCGTGAGAATTGAGAGGTCTGGCGTGAGAGCGTGAGACTGAAGCGAATTGCGTGATATTCGGCGAAAGGTATGTTTATGTTTATAATTTGTCTGTAATATTGCGTAATTTGATCATATACGAGCTCGTTTGACTTTCAAAGCTCATAAATCGTTATAATGATGCCATTCACTAAATCTATCGATAGGAATGAGTAGCTATCGTTACACTGAATCGTATGGTGGTATTTTGGTCCACGTAGCATTTACCGAACTGAAGATATGAACAGCGCGGGGGGGGGGGAGGTTGTTCTCCGAAAAAATTAATTAGATAGGGGACCCTAAAAAAAATCTGGCCTGGCCCCCGCCAACTTCTCGGCGGCCCTGCCGGAAACATTACCCGGTAAGCGGGATAACATTTCTCCATATGAACAGAACAGAAGTATTTGGCTAGTCAAAAAGTTTTCTCGTTAATTAACCGGGATAACCTTTGCCCATATGAACAGGCCCTAAAAATGAACGAAACGTTAAGGATATTAGCCATTTCCCAATCGAGCAGAGGACTGGGTCTAGTCGCTTGTTCGGAGGCTAGGGACAAAAAATATGCCGAATATGGCATCTGGGACGTTTTCCTACATTCCTAAAGTATTTGTGCAGCCTGAAATGCAACAATTCAGTATAATAAAGCATCTTTTAATATTAAATTTAGCTCGCTTACTATAACTTGCTGTCCCTCCAAACGTCCCTCCAAACATCAACTAGACCCAGTCCTCTGCTCGATTGGGAAATGGCTATAGTCTTACTTTTTTCAAATTTTTCATTTTTTCAAATGGAAAAAATGGCTTAAGATGGACGAATAATTAAGGCTATAGCCAGGGGCGTAGGAAGCACCTGGAGTTTGGGGGGGCACCGGCTTGTAGGAGCACATTACTATCGGAAAGGGCACCTAAAAAATTTTTCACGGAAATGTTGTCGAGGGGGGGGGGGGAGAAATTTCTCCTGAGGAAAATTTTCCGTCGTATCATACCGAAATTTATGTTTGTGACCTAATTTTTAAAAAAAATTTGTAAATTTCCACACAAAAACGGCACCTATTGTTTTAATTTAGTATTTACAGCGACATTAGCTTCTACAATAGGGGCACTTTTCCTCACAAAAAAGGGCACTTTTCAACACAAAAAGGGCACTTTTTATCACAAAAAAGGCACTTTTAGTCCTTTAAAAAAATTTGGGTGGGCACGTGCCCCCCGTGCCCCCCCCCGCTTCCTACGCCCCTGGCTATAGCCTTTAGAGGTGTGCATCGGATCGGACATGTCCAAAATCCGATCCGATGACCGAAATGGTCTAATCCGAATCCGATCTGAGTTTTGATCAGCATGAGTTCCACCTTTGAATTTACTATATGAGTAAATTCTTAAACACGTCCGAATTTATCATTATGATAAATTCGCGGCAAATTTTGAATTTATTATAATAATAAATTCGCGGCACCTAACACTAACCCAACCCCAACCCTAACCACTAACCCCTAACCCCTAACCACTAACCCTTAACCCTAACTTTTTGAACTTTTTTGAACTTTTTTAAAAATCTAACTTTTTAAACTTTTCTTGCGTTTCAAAACTCTTTTAATTCAAACATTTTTAAAAACTATTTTTTTAAAAAACTTGAAAAACTCAGCTGCCTTTTAGTATACCGCACATTTTCGGTGACGATTACTCGATTAGTGTGTTCTATACTTTATCTGTCGTGATAACTTAACGCTTTAAAATTCCCGGTACCAAAATGAGAACGGAAGTGAAAACATCGGTATCGGTATTGGAAGTCGAACTTAAACTCTCTAATGTCGATTTCACCACGGCAGGAATGTGTTGGCATTCCTGAATATTTGGACGCGAAAACATCCCACGCGTATCTGCATGCGGTTTTGGCAATATCCGTTTTCCTACGCATTACCAGAAAATCCCAGGAAAATTCCATATATCTAATTTAGTGCTGAAAGCCAAATTATAATTTAATTTATTGGCGTCACGTGCCAACATTATTGTTGCTTCATTAAGAGGCAATATTTTCCCAATGTTGTATATCATGATATTTGTGATCAAAACCTTAAAGCATTTTGGTGTTCCTCAAAATTAGTTGTTTTAGCTTTGTTTTTAGTTTACACAGTACGTTAGCAACCTTTTTTTAATGTATCTGCGGTGGTTGAGGAACACAAAATAAAGTTAAATACTTAAATTTGTTTAAAATAATAGTCAATGAAAATAACTATTATTATTGATGCTGTAAAATCGTTAAATATTATTCATCGTTGTTATACGTTTCGTCTCAGCTATACCCTATTAGACGGTGATAATACAATGATCTCAGTCACCGTGACGGTGCACAAATTAACATAAACTCAGACAAAAACATAATACAATGAGTTCTGTTTAGTTTCCAGATAATCATATTAGACCTATCATATAAACAGATCCAGCAATTAAAAGAATGGCGTCATTATTTGTAAACACTGAACGATCGATCATTTCTTTGCTGCCATCATCTCAGCGCTCTTCCACAGCTTACTGAGAAATCGCTAAGTTAATTTAACAAAGAATGTTAAATTGATAGCCCTTCAGCGATAATTGCTTCCGACCATTTTGTTATCGTGTCAATGTATTTTCGATAAATATAACCACGCACTCGCCGAATCGTCAATCATTTGTGGTGAAACCTTTTTAGAGACATGTTCAAATTTTTTATTGTTTTACACAGTTTCGTGTTACTGGCCAGTGCAAAAGAATGTAAATCTGGTCAGAACTGTGAGTTAAGGTGTTGTACCATACCTGCGGGTGATGTAATCTGTCGTGAGAGATGTTTGGGGTTATCATGTGAACTTGATGTACATTGTGATGGCGACTGCTGTGTAAACTCGACATGTAGCAGTTGTCTTCTGAAAAGGTTTGTAAACGTTTGGTTGTAAAAGTTTTCATTTTAGATTAAAACTCACGATATGTTAAATTATTATTATTATTATTATTACTTTTTCTAATTAATCGACCAAAGATACTTTTTTATAAATTCAATATAAATTTGTGAATGACAAACTAAACTTAAACAAGACGCTTTACGGAGCGTTAACTCGCTGGGGCTATACAAATACGCACATTATTGTACATGATCACACGCCAATACATAGCGGAAAAGTCGAAAACGAGCGCGAAAGGCTTAACACAGTACTAAAATGCGGTAGGCCCTATACCCTGCCCTACCCTACACTACAAGTAAAGTTATATTCAACCTCGCATCGCAGGGCTGAAAGACCCTGGCTTGCAACTTGCAAGGTTGAGTTATGCAACCTTCTTCAAGAACTGTCAGCCGCCAGTTAATTGGTCCGTACGCTAGGCCTAGGATTAAACTGCGCTTTAAAACGTTCAAAATAAAATATTTTTGAGCTCAAAATACTATCAAAATGAAGGCTGGAGAGAGACGAATCCACTGGTATACGGCCGAAAAAGAGAAAGCAAATGATACCAAAGTTATCAAGGATAAAACGTACTGTATTTTTTATAATTAGCTTAATAATTTTGAGCGATTTATCAAGAACACAATTTCGCTTGATTTTCAAAGACAAAGACCATAAATCCGCTAGAATACTGTTGTTTAGTAATACATTTGACATCCGTAATTAGTACAATTTCTAACCCTGGATGGTCGGTGGATACATCCTTATGGCGCCATTAGGCATTACAAAACACTATGAACGTACTGCGAGCTATTTGTCAAAATTACGTAAACAATACAATTTGACCAATTTCGCTTGATTTTCAAAGGCCATAAATCGCTAGAATACTGCTGTTTTGTAATACATTTGACATCCGTGAGTACAATTTCTTACGCTGAATAAAACGGTGGTATTTTTATCCTTATTGCGCCATTAGGCATTACAAATACAAGAACGTCTGTAGCGCGAGTGATTTCTCAACAATAGTATACGTACTGCGAACGATTTATCGACAAATACAATTTCGCTTCATTTTCAAAGGCCATAAATCGCTAGAATACTGGTGTTTTGTAATACACTTGACATCCGTAAGTACAATTTCTTACGCTGAATCGAACGGTGTTGCTTCGGTTCTCTATATTAAAATTTTATAAACTTAGGGACGGACCATTTGATTTTTCATGGGGGGGGGGGCGCATTTTTGAGAGTGCTCGATTTTTTTTTGGACCTCACCGACTCCGCACGATTTTTTTTTATCGAATCTTGCCGCGTGCACGATATTTTTTTAAATTTTTACTATAGCGTTAATACAATAATAACCACGTATGGTTATATTCCGGTTGAAGAATGTATTTGAATATACAGCATATAACCACAAAATAGGAAAGTATAGCAGAAGTGTAACCCACGAAAATTTTAACTCGCTCACGCCATCCTGGCTAGTACAGCCGGAAGTTTTTATCAGGTTTTGATAGGTACAAAGTGCCGGTTGTACTAGCCAGGATGGCGTGATCGATGATCGGACGAATCGCTTGTAAAAACGCGGACAAATACTTGCTTGAGTGAGACTTCTGGTATATCTTCCTATTCTATGATATAACTATCACAGCCCATTTTATACTTGGCCAATTTTATACTTGGCCCATTTTATACGGGGCTATGGTCTACGAAATGTACACCATAGTCCCAATCAAAATTGGATCAAGTGTATCAAAGTGTGTAACCCATTTTGCATTGGCGTAATGGCATCTATATACAAATTCTCACGGTATTATTCCCAATCGTATCAGTGTTCCCAATACGTATTATAAACTGCGATTTTTATTCAGAATCAGAGAGCGATATTAATGAGCCCGGTGGGAAAGGGTATTTTTGTGACCCGTGAATGCAGTGGCTTAGCCAGACTATAATTTTTGGGAGGGCATATATCGAACGCCGAAGGCGTAAGACTTTTTAGGGGGGTCCGGGGGCATTCTCCCCCGGGAAAATTTTGAAATCTGGAGTCCCTCAATGGCGATTTCCCGTGTTTCTGGGGAGAGATTTTGCATAATTCTGAAGATTATTTACTGCAGGAAAGACCGGATTTTTAATGACTTCTCAATAATGTGGATCCTTAATTTGACTCAACGAAGCTTACTTGGTCGCGTGTGAATAGTTAAATCGAAGTTTTAAAACGCATTTTAACCAATAACCACCACAATCGTTGTGGGATAATTGTGGAATTGGGCTCAAAGATAAGTAACAAAAATACCAAAATCGTGCTGCAAGAGTAATTACTGGGGCAACTTACGATATTCGGTCATCTGAGTTACTCAATAATCTAAATTGGAAACCTCTAGAAGAAAGACGAAATTATCTTAAATCTATTTTCATCTATAAAGTTCTGAATGGCCACACCGCACCAAATCTTAAAGAAGCATTTCATTTTAATAATGAAAGACATAATACTTACAATCTTAGAAATACGGATACTGATTTAGCACCACCTATGCCGAAAAAAGAATTCGGCAAGAGGTGCTTCAGTTATAATGGTGCCTTGCATTGGAATAATCTTCCCCATGAGGCAAAAATTGCTGAATCCCTAAGCTCTTTCAAGTCGATATTGAAACAAAGAATGAGTTGAAATTTGCTTGTGTATAATCGCGCAGCTAAAATCAATTGTATTTATTTATTTTGTTATATTTTGTATTTCCTGTATATAGTTAACTTTTTGTAAATAGGTAATTTCACGCCCCTCATGGAAACCAGCCTTCCAACGGCTGTTGAGGCTAGCGTGGTCTAAATAAAGTTTTGTATGTATGTATGTATAGGCATTATTTTCTGTAGTTAGATTTAGGAAAGATTAGAACTTTTATAGACAATTTGGTGAACAGGTGAGATTGGTAGACACATGGGTAGTCATCGTCCCCCCCCCTAATTTCTACCCGGATTTCATCTTTTTACAAGGGCAGTCCATCAGCCTATTGGGGGGGGGGGGGCTGAGCCCCCCCCTTGTCTACGCCACAGCGTCGGAATGGTCAATATTTGATCGTGTGAAATGCTTGATTTTACTGTCATGATCTGTGATTTGTTCTACAGCCGTGAGGCGTGATTGTCGATCAAAAAATGCTCCGTGAAATGGGAATTAAGGATGTCTGTTTCGTGAACTGTGATTTTGATTTGTTTATTCCGATCTATTTTATAATAGTGATAATGGACATAATACGCGATAATAATTTATATGATCGATCTCACTCGATTGCACAAGAGTAGAAACTTCGGAGGCCTTTCGGAGATCGTCGGACGTACTCATCACTCAAACTTGTAAGTAGTTTTTAACTGCCAGGCAGAGAAGAGAACTTAAAGCGTAGTACTGTACCATGCATTAAACATAATCTTAAAGCTATTATTATTATATTATTTTTATTAGTCTCGTTATCCGTGAAATGTGAAATTGCTTTTTTATGGCACGTGAATTGTGAAACGCTATTTTTTTTGTTGTGAAACGTGAATCATACCCCCCCCCCCTTCCCACCCTCATTAATCGATGTCGAATTTACAGAAGTGTGGGAGTTTCAGTGTTAAGATTGGGTTTTTTAGGGATACCACTAAGGTAATTTGTGGATAATTGAATTATTGAAGTCAAAGTTGTCAGAACTGGTTTGTATCGGTTTGTATTTTGCATGTATACCAAGGCAGAACCGAAACACTCAACAGAAAAAAACTAAGGGAAACTGAATTTTTCTTTCAATATAGAGTATTGCTAATTTAGAATTTTTTTGTGCTCGATATTTTTTTTTTGCTGGTGTTAGTGATGTTCGATTTTTTTTTCTTCCATTCGATACATGCTCGATATTTTTTTTCGGATTTGCGCCCCATGAAAAATCAAATGGTCCGTCCCTTACTTGCGATTTGCGAAGGCTGTTTCCATGCGAAATTCCTTGTAAAATTGTTCAATTTTCCCGAATTTTCCTCAAAATGCAGGGTTATTTATGGATAATTTGGGTAAAATTGGCAGAAGCCTTACGGATAATTGGGGGGAAAATTAGGCAACTTATTAATATTCTATTTTGTGGCTATCAACGACGATCGGAAATCTGACATCCACCACGGGTGCCCAGAGACGCGTGCCGAAACCTATACTCGCCAGGGCACAGAGTGCCCCAGCGAGTAATTACTTTACAAATTATATTATCATCGACTTTTTATCTTACATAATAATAATAATTCTTATTATAGGCCTAATAGTTTTGCTTGTGGAAACACCACGTAAATTTATTACTGCAAAGCTTTCGATCCGTAAGCCCGGATCTTCATCAATGCTAATATGTTTACTTAATATTATTAGCACTGATGAAGATCCGGGCTTACGGATCGAAAGCTTTGCAGTAATAAATTTACGTGGTGTTTCCACAAACAAAACTATTATATGTTTTATCGCCATGCAAACGTACAAAGAACTTAATCATTTTATTATTATACATTGTATAGTAGGTAAAAGCAATTTGATTGGCTAAGAGCTTACCGTTAAATCGCGCAATCACCGCGCACCCTACAGAAAATTCAGTTATCTGCTAGCAGATAACCGAGTTATCTGCAAATGAGCCTGTGATGCGGTACTACTTGACATAAATGAATGTATAATAAAACAATTATTGAATTCGTTTTTTTGCGATATGCAAAATAATCAAGGTTTCGGTACGCGTCATCAGCCTCGCCTTCAGCTCGGCTGATAACGCTTACCTCGACAATTCCGCATATCACAAAAACCTCATCCAATAATTGTTAATGATTACCGATCACTCATACCTAGTTACGGACCTCTATGAACGACGTTGACTTTAGTATATTACTATTCGCAGTTCAACTCGGCCTTCATCACAAAAACCTTCAAAAGTCGCAGCTGAGACGAAGACGATGATGAATCGACCGACAAACAACGTTCATGGCTGTTCGAGATTCAATAACCAATGCCCCAGTGGATGCTGTATCGATGGACAATGTGTTGACAGTTCTCACTGTGTACCTATCAAAGCACCCCGGGGCGGTAGGGGAGGCGGTAGAGGAGGTGGGCGTGCAACTTACAAAGGATCAGGAGGTGGGGGTTCTGGAGATGGCGACATGCCGGCCTGGGGGTGGGCAGTTATTTTTGGGGGTATATTTCTATTAACTCTCTGCATTCTTATAATAAAACAGAGCTGTTGTGACTAAGTATATATAGACTGGTAAGGCAAATGGAGAAAATGAAGCCAAATAAAATGTTTCTTTCGGAAACTTTTTCAAACTTACAATATTTGATAAATACATATTTATATCTAAATACATGTATATTCATGTTTAGGTAAATCATTTCAAGCATATAAGGTCTTGAAATTTCGACACTTTTCTGTACAGCCTGTTTTTGGAAGCTGACATGATTTTAAATTGGGCTTGTTATGCAAATATTATTCGTGTTGGCTACGGTTAGTTGCAGCAAACGTTTATTGCATAACACCCATCGCCGACCGCCGACAAAATAATATGTATTAGAAAAACTCAACACTTCTTACGACACAGAAATTCTCTTTTGGGGGGGAGGGGGGGGGGCGGGTTATTCGTATGGGGTAAAATGTCGAAATTTTGAGAAAATGGAAAGTTGATAATTAAATTCTATTTCTCAATTAGTGACTGTGCATTTATGATGTAAAGTAAGTTTGCTTAATAAACCTATATTTGAACTATAGTAAAAGTTTTTTTTTGTTTCTTTCGTGTGTATGTTGGTGTTATGTACTCAGGTCAATCAGGTGAAAATGTTTGTGATGTTACTCTGAGTGTTTGTGATGTTACTCTGAGTGTTTGTGATGTTACTCTGAGTGTGCATTCCCACCGTGGTCAGACAAACTTTTGAGCTTGCCCGGTGTGGATGCACACTCAGAGTAACATCACAAACATCATAGGAAAAGTTGGTTTACAATGAATGAATGATAGATAGATAGATAGATACCCCAAGGAATGGCATACTTAATACTTCAGGGTTATTTTCGTCGAATATGCAGAGTGAAATTTCTATGAAATAATATATCATACCAAACATGCACCATTTGGGATTGTTAAGTGTTGTTTACACTGTATCAGTAAGAGATGACTTTGGAAATTTATCAGGCATGCATGTTAAGGGGAAAGCACCCCGGGAGTGCCATTCCCAGCATTTTGAGGGCCATTTTAATGTATTTTGGCATCACAAACCAATCCAGAACATATAAAACACAGCAAAATATAACATTTACATTACAAGGAATGAAAATATAATGTATATATACTTTGTCAAGGTCCATATTTTTCGAGGGGAAGTGGGGGGGGGGGGAGCACATTTCGCCAGGTCCCCACCTCTGGCTACATCTATATGATTAAGGGTAAGATTGAAATGCGGAGTTGAGCTAGGATTACGATGAAAATTGACCGAATAACAAACATGTCGTGTCTCGATTGAATAGGCGTTTATTATTTCATAATCTTCTTTTTTCCAATATAAAATAAGTCTATATGTGTGTAAGTTGATCTAAAATGCAGGCTGTAACAAAAACTGTTAAAAATATTCTTCCTATCTTTACCTATCTTTACATACTTCGCGCAGAACATTTACACTCCGATCATAATAAAATATTAAAATATATATACATACATCTGAAATATTACCCTTGTCTTATTTACCCGCTGTTATTTCCCGGATGGATTGCTTCTGGGCGATTAGTGAAGGCTATATATATGGCGTTGACCATGCATGGTGTATTGCCTAAAAGAATAATACAGGTGATACAATCGCTGTGAGGATTTAGTGGAAAGACAACGTTGAACAGATGCATGCAACTAAGCCTAGGCTTTCTCACTTCTAAACTGTTGTTCTTCCTAGCCATAGAGTAGAATAGACCTTTCTTATAATGACGGAAAATCCCTAATGAACAAAATTTTGATCTAGACAAGCGTAGACAAAGATTTTACCGCAGCATGAAAGAGCATCACAAATTTAGTAATATTCCGAAGTTTCGTTGCAAAATATTGTAAAATGTGGATAATATAGCCTTGCGAAGTTTGCCGTTTTTCAGTCATTTTGTATTACGCGCGGGAAATTGATACCTTTTTTTAGAAAGCGGTATCAATTTCCCGTGTGGAATACAAAATTACCGAAAAACGGGAGACTTCGTAAGGCTATATTATCCGCATTTTACACCATTTTGCAATGAAACCTCGGAATATTACTAATTTTGTGATGCTCTTTCAAGCTGTGATAAAATGTTTGTCTAGACTTGTCTAGATCAAAATTTTGTTCATTAGGGAATAAGTCCATTTATGCATTGCCCCACAGGGTCAATGCAAGTCGTTGGCGAGACACTAAATTTCGTAAATTTTTTTTCCCGCGTTTGACGTCATCATAAGTAAGGTCTATAGATACCTTACAGAAGGACAACTTCTTGGTTTTGCTATGATTTTGGTGTAACCGTTGCAACGCTGTGCCACAGAATAAAGACACACAGAAGGTCGACTAAGCCAAAAAAGTGTAACCGCTGCCACGCCATGATTCGTCATCAAAATACTGACGCCATGGGCCTCGCCAGTGCGCTTATGAGAGGCATCCCCCCCTAGACGTCCGCCATTTTGAATATTATCAGGGGGGTGAATGCCTCTCATACGCACACTGGCTCACGGTTACGCCAAAATCATAGGAAAAACCAAGAAGTCAAGCGCACCAGCTAGGAACATGGCGAGAGCGTTTTGATGCCGAATCATGGCGAATCAGTCGGCCTTCTGTACAAGGTCTCTATTTTGCGCCCTAGTGGTCCAGTAAGGTTATCACTTATGGGCTAGTATCACAAGTAATGGTAATCCCTGAATTAATGATCTAGTATTACTATAGAAGAAACCTAAATTATTTTATCTTTTCTTTATCTATATTTTAACTATTTGAGAACAATTTTATCTTTATTGGGTAGGTCTATCAGTTCTAATCTGCTATTCGTTGAGGTCCAGCAAAGGCCACCCCGTATTGGTCACGCGTTCCAACAGAAAACCTTAACTAAACTAAATTAGTAATAAGTTCCAAAATGTTCTTCCTGTGTTAAGTTAGAACCCCATTTGGTCGAGGGATACTATACTCATGAAAACTACATACATTGTTAGAGTCTTGAAGCCTCTCTCGATCATAGATTATACAGCTGATATTCGACTTTCACCCTTCCCTACAAAACAATAACAATTTTATCAAGGTTATATAGTTTACACGACACTAGTACCAGAGCTTCCACTTTTATGGAAATTTCAACATTTTATGGAATTTTTGAAGCGAAATGGAACTTTTTGGGGAACCGAAAAATGTTCGGTCTACGAGTGACCTCTAGTATTCCAAAGTATAGGTGAATTATGACTATACGACTCATCCGGCCCCCTCGACGTTACAAAACTACAAAGGAATATGAATTTTAGAATACAAAATCTTTGTATTCTAAAAATTTAGAAACCAACATTAAAGTGCACTGTTAAGTTCGAATCAAATTTTCACTTTGGTCTATCATTTGACTTTTTTCAACGGGAGATGCATGGACTTTGAGGAGAGGTTCCAAAAATCCCAGAGGAGGTGCAAGAGAATCTCAGGGGCAGTGCGCAGCACCCCCACACGTGCACCTTTCCTCACCATGCCCATAAAATAAGCCCCCCCCCCCCCCTCAGATTAAGGTGGACCCATCAATGACAGTAGTACAATACCCGAAGTAAAGAATGAACGTGGTGACGATGATCCTCTGTCTGGAGTCGATGGACTGGGTGTGTCTAAATGATAGGAAAAGTACAAGTTTAAAAGATATTATCAGAATGATAGAATTGCCCAGAACATTCGTGTCCTGTAGGAGACCCACCACCCTAGCCAATAGTATTGGACCGTCCTATCACGGCCGGGTCCTTATCATTTCCGGTAGACGTTTGTAAATAGGGTTTGGTGGTAAATGAGGGTTACGTATTATGGATACGGATTGCGGATAGAGTGGAAAATGCGGATTGCGGATAGATTCTATATTATAATTATATGCATAACGAGCGTATATAAGATGTTGTGCTTTATTAATACTGCTAAATTTGACACCTTGTCACAATAATACAGTTTAATTACAGTTAAAGTGCAGTTATGAACTGTCGATACCTCAGAAAATATTCATATATTCTCTTGCATTGTCAGAAAATATTCCTATATTCTCTTATATTATATTGTCAGAAAATAGAACATTTTTCCACCCCTGGAAATTGCCTCCAAATCAAATTAAAGTTTTTTCTTCACAATTCGATGGAAGATATCATGTTTGAAAAAGAAACAATTGGAATTTAGTAACACTTACTTGGTATGGATATTCGTGCTGACGGCGTGCCTAAATATAAATCACAAAATATAATTGTTATAGTTTTGTTACAGGAGTGGCTGTTTCTCCCACCGCGGTTCTGTCCCATTCCCTAGTGTACTTTATAAAACTAGTCGTATTTAGAAAAATCCTGTAAACTGTTACCAAAAAAACCCCCCCAAAAAACAAACAAACAAAAAAAACAAACAAATATACAAGATAATACGTTCTTAGTTAGGCATCGTATGGTTTGAAATCTCTATTCACATTTAATTTACGACGAGAATAAAAGTCACAATAAAAAACAATACCTAGTTTAGTAGGAAACTTCTGTTCCTCGAGCGATAAATCTCCGATCTCGGGAAATACCTCGATATCTAAAAACCGCATTGAAAAAAGTATCATTATTCTCAAAGCTGTATTAGGTCTATACTACCCTCCCTAAGTACCAGGTAATTCTGTCAACTGTTCTCCCTGGAAGTCTAGTGTTACTACAGGAGGAAAACTGAACTAAACTAACTTCATTTATACTGGATAGCTCTATCAGTTCTAAACTGTTCTTCCTAGAGGTCAGTAAGATCATCTCTTATTAATCCAGTGTTACTACAGGAGGAAACCTAAACTAAACCAACTTCATTTATACTGGATAGCTCTATCAGTTCTAAACTGTTCTTCCTGGAGGTCAGTAAGATCATCTCTTATTGATCCAGTGTTACTACAGGAGGAAACCTACACTAAACCAACTTCATTTATACTGGATAGCTCTATCAGTTTTAAACTGTTCTTCCTAGAGGTCAGTAAGATCATCTCTTATTGATCCAGTGTTACTACAGGAGGAAACCTAAACTAAACTAACTTCATTTATACTGGATAGCTCTATCAGTTCTAAACTGTTCTTCCTAGAGGTCAGTAAGATCATCTCTTATTGATCCAGTGTTACTACAGGAGGAAACCTAAACTAAACTAACTTTATTTATACTGGATAGCTCTATCAGTCCTAAACTGTTCTTCCTAGAGGTCAGTAAGAATATCTCTTATTGGTCTAGTGTTATATATACTATAAGCAGAAAACTAAATTAAACTAACTTTATTTACACAAAATAGTGGATAGCTCTATCAGTTCCAAACTATTCCGTCCAGTAAAAGCTCTTGTTGATTCAGTGTCACTACACGAGGAATTTGAGGAAATCTAAAATAAACTTTATTTCCACT